TTCAAAGCACTTTGAGAGACACAGAATATCACCCCACCTCCATTTTCTTTAAGGTAGCCTGTGGCTAAGTAGATTCCAGTTAGTTCAGTTTGTGTTGTGCTGGCCCAGTTGTTCAGCCTTTGCTTTCTTTGACACTATCATCTCTTTTTCTTTATATATTACAATTGCACAGCCTGTTCTACCTGTGTTTGTCTGCACAGAACCATCAGTAAAAGCATAACATTCACTTGATTTAATACTCTCTATGTGTCTGTTAATAGTTTCTAGTGTGACACATCTCATCACATTGGTGTTTAACATTTGCTTACTACCAACAAGAGTGTAATTAATGAGAAGTGATATATCCAGCCAAGGAGGAATGGCATTAATGGGTTCTTCTGGGGTGATTGGGACATTCAGTTTCAAGAGATCTGCAACACTTTTATGAAGCCACACCCCAAAGAGTCTTTTGTGGAAGGTTAGCGAGATAGTCGGGATTACTTAGATAGAACATCAACTCATTTTGGGCTGTAGTTTGGGAACCATTGTACTTCAAAACTTTGACACAAAACATGATATTAAGTAGAGCTATCCTCGCAGATAGGGAGGGCAGCCCGAGCTCTTTCCTCATGTTTACAATTTTGGTTGATTTAGGGCATCCTAGAATGATGCACATAGTTTCATTTTGTACTACCCCAAGGTTGCTTAGTTGTTTAGGCGGAATAGTCACAAGATTAAGAGCATGATAGTCAACTACAGAACGAATGAAGTGAAGATGGAAAGTATGAGCATAGGTGATGTTAATTCCATAGCCCTTGTCACAAGGGTTCTGAGGGGTTTAATGCGCTACATTAGTTTGGCACTAAGGTTGCCGACAAAGTTTGCATCTTTCACACAAATTCCAAGATATATTAAGAGCTACATAGTTCCAAGGGCATGCTGGTAATGTTAAAGTGAAGAGGCAGAGGGTGAGCAGGACGAGGATTGAAGACCTTCGTCTTGTCAACAGATATTATGAGACCACATTCCACAGTCCTCTGAGCAAATACATCCAGCAAGGTTTGGAGCCTGAGCTTGGTTTGTGTCATAATGCAGATATCATCAGCATAGCATATTACAGCCTCATTTGGCTGAACTGGATTGTTGGCAATAAGCTTGTGCATCAGTATATTAAAGAGCATAGGACTTAACACTCCTCCCTGAGGCATGCCAAACTCAAATGCTCCCCTAAACAGAACACTGGCATACCTGTTGGATAAATAACTCTTTATCCATGTCAGGAGGTTACCTTGGATGCTAAAATTAGCTAGTTGCTCAATTATAATGTCTCTATTAGCTACATCAAAGGCTGATTTAAGGTCTATGAAGGCTGTTTGTGTCTTATCTTTTGAGTGAACAAGATATTCTGCAAAGCATGTCTGTGTGCTGTGCCCGGGATGAATCCTTACAGATTAGGGGCCAGTTTGTCTTTGATTTGAAACATGAGACAGTTGAGAACAACTCTTTCAAGGACTTTACACATACAGGATGTGAGTGAAATGGGCCTAAAGTTTGGAGAGTTAGCTTTAGGGATTGGTACTATGTTTCCTTGAGTCCATGTCTTAGGCAGAATAACCTATGTGAGGCTCATTTGATACAGGTCAAGCAGTGGATGGTTAGGGACCTCATTTAACAATCTCAGGATGTTATAGGTTATGCCATCCTCACCAGCGGAGGATGATTCACTTTATATGAGTGATGTTGTTAGTTCGTGGTGCGTTATAGGAAACTGGTCGGTAAGGTCTGGTGAGGAACAGGCTATTTCAATATTGAAACCCCTATTAATGTGTGTGGCTTTGAGATATTGCTGTATGTGAGGAGGCAGGGAAGTGATTTGTGACACACTAGACCATTGGTCTAATAGCATGTCAGCATATTCTGCAGGGCTGTGATGAAGTTGGACTGGGGTGGGTGACTTGGTAATGGCTCTAATTTTGTTCCACACTTCTGCTAGAGTGGTTGTTCTATTAATCCCCTGTATGAATTGTTCCCAATAGGTGTTACTCACCTGACGTTTGAGTTCACGAAATTCTCTGTTAGCTTTGAGGAATGCCAAGAGGTTATCACGAGTTTTATTTTGCTTATAGGCAAGCTGTTCTACCTTCTCTCCTTCTTTGGTGAGGATGGGGTCATGTGTCCACAGAGGTGGTTTAGTGCTGCCCCCCTTCCTCCTTGACTTAACCCAGGTGTTATAATATGTGGTAATGACATTTACAAGATCACTGCAAAATTCACCCACTGACCCAGGTGTATATCCAACATACCATCTGTGGATGTAGGCCTTGAAGTGCAGTTTAAGATTATCTGGGATGTTAATTTTGAGTCTAGGATGGGGTTCACACTTGACATCAGCAAGTGTGTATTCAGTAAGTATTGCATAATGATCACTGACTAGGTGGTCTGAGATGACCTTAGCCTTGACATTACTGTCTACTAGGTTATACCCAATCACAAAATCAAGTCTGCCCCCCATCAGATGTGTCACTTTGTATGTGTCGTATACAGTGATGTTATGGCTACTGTATTGATGTAATTCACGAACACCCTCCTATTAGAGTTACACTGGACATCACCGAGGACAGTGTGACAAGAGTTAAAGTCACCCATACACAGCATAGCATTGTTATCTGATGGCTTTGGTAATATGTCCACTCACAGCTAATTACACCGAACATAGATGTTATTCAGCGAAAATTGACTGTTTGCTGTCTTTACTGTAAATTGTTGATAGTGAATACTTTCATCATTGTGGGTTTTGATCCATTTACAGATCAGACCATTCTTTACATAAATGAACAGGCCACTTCCTGCTCCACTATTGTATGCTGTAAACCCAGCTATCTTGGGTGCAGCTTTTGCTCCCTCACTAAGCCTATTAACTTAAGTGCAAATAAATGTATGTTCCTTATATGTGTTTGCCCATGGGACAATTATTTCATTTACTTTTTTCACAATAAGTATGTGGGATGGTGTATGCATGTATTGTATATCAGTAAAAATAAATGGAGAAAGTTGAAAACAACAGCTTGGTCCAGTAGCCTGGTTACAGAGAAGAGTCTTACCTGACTACAATGCTGCCAGCGATGTTAACAGATGTAAATGTGAAAAGAAAGTTATATGTAAATCTTCATTTGTATCAGGTATTTGTAGATTGAAAAATAAATGTTGTAGATATGACATTAATAGATTGTAATGTTTGTAAGACTTCAAAAATGGTTAATGCTTAGTTACCTTTGAAGAGTTGTGTTTCTGCTGTTCGGACGTTAATTGTCACAGGTTATCGTCAGTGCCGGATTAACCATGAGGCACTTGAGGCACTGGCCTCAGGCCCCCAAATCCAAACATTCTCGAAGTTGAAGCGTATAAAACATGAACTTTGTTCAACGATGTCCTAGCAACGTCTCAATTTTCTGTCACATGAATATTAATTTGTGGCCTTATAGCAGCAACCAGCAACAACAACCATATATGTATTTCCTTATGCTGCTGCTCTTTCCCGCCAACCGCCAGCAACTTCTTTCAGCAGCAGCAGCAGCAACATACCAACGCTGCTGCTGCTGCTGCCAGCGCCAGCAACTGCCTGCTGCTGCTGCCGCCGCTGCTACTGCTTCAACCGGCTCAGTAACGGCCAGCCATTGTTATGCCTGCATATATATATATATATATATATATATATATATATATATATATACAATAGCAGCAACAACAGCAATAACTATATATATATATATATATATATATATATATATATATATATATATATATATATATATATATATATATATATATATATATATATATATACATATATATATATATATATATATATATATATATATATATATATATATATATATATATATATATATATATATACATACAGTCAACCCTCACTTTACACGGTTAATGTAACCCACAGGGTACCGCGGAAAGTGAGAAACGCGTAAAGTGAATAACATAACATATGGGATTAAATGAAATAGAGACCAGCTGACCCCCAAACTCTACTTTTTCCAACACAATACCTATGTTCTAGTAAAAATAACATCTTAATTTTATGATGGTACATGGACACAATTAATACTTAAGAGAAATACAGAAATACAGTCGCCAAGTTAATGTCCATTCAAATAATGGACTCGACTCCCTCCCCCACTTCTCACACTACACTCGCTGGCTCTTCCCTCTCTGAGAAATTTTGGGGGGAAAACCAGGTATAGTAATAAATAATACCTCAAACTAAAGTTAGGATAATATAATTGACATTGCTGGATTCCTTTTAAGACCAGGAATATATTTTGCACAAAAGATAACATATTTACTCAGAGTAAACATAATATCTAAAATTTGTATGTCTAATGCAAAATCTATGATGTTTATATTCAAAATGATCATCAAATTGTAAGAATTCCAGCAATGTAAATTATATTCTGGCCGGGTAATTTGTATGAATTTTATGAGCTAAAACAAATATCTTCAGTTAATAAAAAAAAAAAATATTCTTCACGACACTATCTGTCAATCAAAGTACCCCACCTTGCCTCCCCCCCTCTTCCAACCACGCCTACTGGAGACAGCAACTGTGGGATTCATTTGCTTGCGGGAGACCGCAACTTCACATATAGGATGCAGGCTGATTTTTTAGCCCTTTTCAGACAAAAAAGTGAGTCTTATATGCCCTAAAATACTGTAGGGTAATGAATTAGCGAGGGTTGAGTCTACTGGTATATCTGTTGGCTACTTTTTTTTTTAATAATCTTGTCTAGGCAATTTCCATATATTTTGTGGGTACATGTAAAAAGTTAGGGCCATGAATTTTTTATATTGTATTTTAACAGTTTTATGGCCATTTTCTAAAATTTCTGTACTGCAGTAGAGATGTAACTCAAGAATGAGGAATGCCTCCTTCATACCCTTTTATTAATTAACAAATATCTTAGTAATTTCATTCAATTCAGCTGTCATGTTAATCTTTGTTTCAGTCATTAGAAGTGAAAGATGGACATGTCGCATCAGCATTGGCACTCTTGCCCCACCTTGCTGAGCACACAGAGCTCAAGATAAAACTAGAGGGTGACCCGAAGCACTTGCCTGACCTTCCAAAGTTCCTCCGTCTTGTTGCCTCCCGTGAGTGCAGAGTATCACTGGTTTTCGAGCGCCTCCTGTACAAGCCAGACTGTACTGTAGACCACCTGCTGGAGCTCCTGCAAGGCAAGAAGTGAGTGAAGAAAAGTAATAATTGAATTGTTCTGATAGAGTACAAATGAAGGTATGAGGAGATAAAGCAAGTAACCTATGAGAACATGACTGCTTCAGATAGGACATATATCGGTACCCTTAGGTTAATGGTAAGTTACGCTGTCAAAATGGACATATCTACAAACAATTAGCACAAGTAGAATTCTTCAATTTGGCAACAGTAATTATGCGAGAATGGCAATAGTGATATCTCTGTTAGCCGGAACAATTGGTGCAAAGCACTTCCGGGAATGAGAGATTTCCGGGTAAGGAGACGACTGTCTCAAAGTTGAAAAAAAAACCCTCATCCTTGGAATTATCCGGGTAATGGAAAAATTTTTGCGGAAAACAAATCATTCCCAAAGCCGTAATTTTCCAAAAATTTCCGGCTTTAGGAACACATTTTCCGAGGTTGAAAATCGAGAGAATTTTCTGAAAATGTCTTGAATAAAGATGTAAGTTAAAGTTTTTTATTTTTTTTTTTTTGGGGACCTGACCTGACTCAATGTCAGGTGGAGGTAGGGTGAGGGATTGGTGGTCTCATATTACTGACCTTCTGATGGAATGTCAGGTCACCCTCTTTTGGGTGGGGGATTAGTGGGTCTCATGACCTGAAGATGTCTTGAATAAACACATAATCTAAGTATTTTTAGGGAGATTGTGATAAGTATAAGTATAAATGAGCAAAGTTGTATCCCTTCAGCATCACATGACATAACATTTTAAAATATGGAGTGAGAAAGCAGAAAGGTGTGGGTGATTAGAGAGACGGAGTGGAAAGGAGTGGTAACATACACCAGTGTTGCCAAGCGATAACCTTGTCCAGGAATCAGGTGGTGAGGTGACATGCCAAGACGCTAACACAGCACACACACATTAACAGCACTACTAAATCATTGTCTTATAACCTTTTAATATTAAAATTAATTGATGCACGATAGCTTGACTGGGCTACCTTTGCACTTAGACAACTGATCAATGAATAAACCAGGACATATGGAGACTCATAATACACTAGTGATGTCACAAAGCTTCGAAACTGCAACCACATAAATTATCTCAACCTGTACTCAAATGTACTAAGTTAATTACTAAAATTATTATGTCTGGTGCAAACTAATCGCTATCTTGCAAAAATTCCAGCAATGCAAGTTATATTCTCCTAAGTCAAGTCAGTGGCATTTTATAAGCAAAAATATTAAGCCCCTCTCCCTTTCATAATCCTTGAGTAAGCGTTAATCTCCCCTCCTGGCTAGTGACACCCTACCTCCCCCCAGGTATCAGTGGGAGAACAGGCAGCGTTGATAACGATTAATGGGATGAATTTTGTTTTAGGCTTAAAGTTTTCTCATATAAATTGTCACAAACTTGACTAAAGAGAATATAACTTGCATTGCTGGTGTCCTTACAAGTCAGCGATTAATATAGGTATAAACATCTCATAATTTGCACAAGATATAAAAATTTTAGTTGTCTAGCATAGTACATTTAGTCCAAAATGAGTATAGTAATATGCTGCTCAAAATTATGGCTTTATCACAGGGAAAACTGGTCAGGATATTATGGTATCGAATGTTACTGAGTATTTCAAATAAATTCTTTTACCAGTGCCCTTCACATACAGTAAAATAGTTATTTTTACCTTCTAATTCAGCTTGTCTTTTAAGGATATCATATTGGAGATGTCTTTAGAGGATCATTATGGTATCAAATTCATCTCTTTAACACAAATGCAGTTAATATTATACAGGTTGACAATCCTTTATCCGAAATCCTTAAGGCCAGAGGCATTTCGGTTTTCGGAATTTTTCGGTTTTCAGAATGGTTAGGGGTTTTTTTTTTTTTTTTATGTGTATTAGCCCACCCGGGCATAGATCACTGACCCACATTGGGGTCTGGGGGTCTAAAATATTATAAAAATAATAATAATAATAATTCACAGGTCTAGGTCGTGTTTCTCACTTTTGATCTTTTTTTCATTCTTGTATTTCTTTACTGTATTATTTTTTTATTATTACAGTATTATTGTTATTATTAGTATTATTAATTTTATTATTATATTTTGTTATTATTATTATTATTGTAATCATTATTATTTTATTTTGGTGTATTTTTATTAAAAATTTTATTTACTATGAATAATTATTATTATTATAATTAGTATTACTATTACATTTTCGCCCCCCAGGCCCCGATGTGGGTCAGTGATCTGTGCCTGGGTGGGCTAATAATCCCTGTAAAAAAAAAAAAAAAAAAAAAAAAAAAAAAAAAAAAAAAAAAAAAAAAAAGCCCCACCAAAAAACTTTCGGTTTTTAGAGCTTTTCGGTTTTCGGAATTTCGAATAAAGGGTTGTCAACCTGTACCATTTGTTGTGAACTAAGCAGGAAGAGGGAGAAGGGTCCATTAGGGGGTAAAAGTGACCGTGCCATCCCCTTCCCCCAAAGGGTCGCCTCACTGTTTGTCTACTGTACTGACTCATTCATGATACAATATTGTTTTGTTTTTCATTAATTAGTACTGTACAGATATGTTATTGTAATAATCTGTGCTTATTAATACATATACCCTTCATATACAATACAGTACAGTACTATGTAGGTAGTAGGCAGCTACCAAACAGGGAGGTACTGTAGCGTACTGTAATGTGGCCAGTAGTCAATTCTCTTTAGATGTCTATTTTCTCTTTGTATGGGCACACAAACGTACGTACATGTACAGTCTACGCGGAAGGTTAAGGCACACCGTGGGGAAAAAATAAAAAAATCATGGTAAGGCAATAAAAAAATGAAAATAACACTCACCCACCCCTCTTAGTATTTTGTTGTGTTTCCCTTCCCCTTCAGCACCTCTTTCAGTCGTTGTGGAACACTGTCTGCAAGGTTTTGCAGGTGCTGTGGGGTGAAATTGGCCCACAGTTGCTTAATTGCTGTGGTGAGCTTGGGGACGGACGAGGTGTCGAGGTCACGTAGGCGACGTTTCATGAGCCCCCAAAGGTTCTCAATAGGGTTGATGTCGGGGGAATTGCCAGGCCAGTCCTTAAAATATGAAACCTGGCAATCCTCCAACCACTGAGTAACCAACTTGGCTGTGTGGCAGGGAGCACCGTCCTGCATGAACACGACGGCGCGTGTTTTCTCAAACGAGTCAGGCAGAACGTCACAGAGAAGCTCGAGGTACACACCCTGGTTAACTTTAATGTTTTTTTCAAGCACAACCAACTCACCAACACCGTAATAAGTGAAACAACCCCATACCATCACTGAATCAGGATGCTTGACCGTCTTGACGGTGTACCTGTGGTCGAGCGGGTCAGAGTCTGGCCGGCGGTACACCCTATCGTGACCACAACCACTCACTGTAAACGTGGCTTCATCACTCCACAGGACGTTCCTCCAATCCTGAAGGGACCAGACACTGTACTTCTTCGCAAAAGTGATCCTCTTCTTCTTCTGGGCAGCAGTCAGCAGGGGCTTACGGCGTGGGCGGTAGGCGCGATAACCGAGATCGTCATGAAGAAGCTGCTGCACCGACCTTAAGGAGACGTGACCAAGGAGTCCGGGGTTAGCTTGCTTTAATTCCCGGGCCGTGAGCTTAGGATTAGCATTAACTTGCCTAGCAATCACCTTCCTGGTTCTAGGAGACGTAAGCCGTGGTCGCCCAGACTTGGGTTTAGGGGTAGGCAACTCTTCCTGGCTGTTTGCCTCAAACTCCGAGATGAATCGGTACACTGACCGGCGGCACACACCGGTTAATTCAACTATTTCAGTAACTTTATGATTAGCCTTGTATAAACCAATCACCTGTGCAATATCCTCACGCTTAGTAACTCTCCTGGACATCTTAAAGACCCAGAAATCACACGATAAAGCACTGTAACTCGGGCGTAAAATCACGGCACGTGGCGCTCACATGGGTACAATAACCTCCACCCACGCAACCTAAAAAAAGACTGAGCGGTTGCTGCTATTTGACAGCTGTTGCCTAAGGGTTCCAGATGCCGTTAGAATTGTGACTAAATATTTCTGTTCAAAATTTATCCCTATCTTGAGGGTAAAACGATTTGTGCTAAAAGTAAAGTCACAGCCCAATTTGTGCCTGAACCTTCCACGTAGACTGTAGATATCTCACACTCAGGAACGAGGTAGAATAGAAACTCACAATGCGTTTTCTGTATATATATTGTTGTACAGAGCAGTGCTAAGGAGTTACTAGGTGAGGAGTAGCTTGCTCAGAGTTCCTGTAGGGCGAGGAGCTCTTTGAGGAAGCTGGGTGGTGAGGTGCTGGAGAGAGATCTTGCTGGTCCTGTAGGTCAGAGTAGAATGGTCTCCCTGGCCAGCCATGGCCGTATTTATACAATTTACGAGGATCAAGATTTGGGGTGAGCGTAGCGAGAGGGCCAATCACAGAGGAGGAGGCCAGGCACACCCGGCACTCTGGTCCTAGCGTTGCTACATGTGCGTCCGCACTGGAGAGTAGGTCTACCGGCATCGCTGACTGTACGCTGATTGGCTGGTAGGCGCGCGGGAGCTCAGTCGTCACTTGTAGGGGACTGGGTCCACTACTCCCCTTCCCCTCCGGGCGCGGCGGGAGGCTGGAGGTTGACAGGGTTGTGTCCCACAAGGGACACATAACGGGCAGGTGTACGTACCACTCGACCACTACGGGTGACGACTCCGTCTAGTGACACAAAACCTGTGGGAGAATCAGGGGGAGGAGGATTTTGGATTAGAGGAGGTTGTACAGGCAGTGGTTGTTGTGCTCCTGTCACAGCAGGGGCAACGTCACTGGCTGGGCAGGCTGGGTCATGGGCAGGGGCCATGGCAGCAACAGGGTCCACGACAACAGCAGGGTGCAGGACAGGAGCAGTGGGTACCTGAGGGTGGAAAGGGGGTGCCCAGAAATGTTGTGGGCAGGGTCTGGCTGGGTTGACTGGGTCAGGAGCCGGGGCCACGTCAGGAGGAGGGTCCATGACAGCAACAG